GCAGGGGCGCCCCCTGCCCTTGCATCAGCAAGATTACGTTCCTGAGCACGATCCCTGGCACGCCGACAACCACTGACCGCGCGGCAGCTTTTTCTTCGGCCATACGAGCCGATTGATCCGTTGATGAGTCTCTTTCTACCAACATTTCTCTGCACCGACCACCCTCTTACTGTCAACTTTCTTCTTCCCCGTCCTACCCTTTACATTCATCTTCGGATGACAGCCACACCCAATGAGGCCTCCGTGAAACCGTTTCACCACGCACCACGACAAAAAACAATTTGTCACTTTGGCTGACGACATACACTTTGAATGTTGGAGTTCCGCTTTTACTTTCACTGTGCAGCTGACCGACCGCGCTTTTACTGTATTTTGACCTTGGTTTGCCTGTCTTTTTGAGTGATTGCAGCATGACCACATGACATTGCAAAGCTGAATCGACGTTTCACGGACAATCAGTCTACATGCCATAATTGACCCTCTCCTCGCTTTGCACCTTTCAGCCTGCTCAAGCAACAACCCGTGTTTGTCTTCACCAGTGTTCCAGCCAACCATCCATCATGGACGCACAGTGGCAGCAATATTACTGGAACCACTATTTGCTCCAACAGCAGCAACATCAGCAGCTCGCCAACACAGACGCCACCACTACCCATCCTCCCACAAGCCATCACACCTACAACCCCACTGGCACCTACGGCCCACTCACCCACGCACTCCGCACACATCAGGCCCACCATCCTCACCCATACACGACGCCACCGCAGCACACGCCGCCACAACAGACTCCACCATCACAGCCGGAGTTCCCACCGGTTCCCACCCCCACCACCACCACCATTGCCCACAGCCGATCCAGTCACTCCACCACCATCGACTTACAAACACAGTCCACAGCCAGCAGCGGCTGCCCGCTCCGGCTCTGCACCTCCCCCACCACCCCACATCCCTTCCCCCACGCCACCGCTCCAAGACTCTTGGAACCAAACTGACCATTGGGATGCCAACACACTGCACGGCCACCAGCTCTACCGCACAATACAACCTACACAATGGTCTCGCAAAGCAGGGGTGGGAGGGCTCCCAACTTTCGACATCTTCCCCTGGCAACTTGCGTACCATGGTACAGCCGAGTACACAGCCCGCACTCTCAGCCATGGGAAATACACTGGCTTTATTGCCACCAGAAGTGTTGCGGAATCTGTTTTCGTGACCCACCTTCTCCAGGAAATCCGGGAGAAACGCCTGGACCTGGACGACGTCGCCGAAACCCTCCACACCACACAAGGAACCGACATCCCCAGCAAAACAACACAGGCGCGGGCTTTCCACGCCCCCATGATCAACCTCCTCATCCAACAACTTCAATCCCACTCACCGGCACCAGCAGAGGGCACAGCTCTACGAGCCCTTAAGAACACCACCGATGAGCTTGCCCGTGCAAAACAGAAGCTCCACAACTTGGGCGATCCCCTCACTCCCGTGAAGAGCACCAGCCATGCCACAGGCTCGGCCGCCCCATCCCATCCACCCACTCCCCCAGCACACAAACCACCTGTCCTGGCTGACGTCCTGCAACCCCCACATCCAGCACTGAAGGATGACTTCACAGACAGCTGGAACAACTCCGACATCCAACATTGGGTCACCACCTTCGACCCCACCGTCCAAGAAGCAGCCAACGAAGTCTTGCGCTTGCTACAAACAAGCAAAGTCACTACCCAGCAGTTGAAAGAGGCCGCCACACGCTACGGCCTCCCGCCTGGCCGCGTCAATCGCCTCCCTATCCGCAGCCTACAACACCTGGTGAGTGTGGGGGCAGCCATCGGCTGCTGACTCGCTATCCTCAGCCAGCAGCAACCCAGCCACACCACCATGCAACACCTCTTCCACTTGCACCGTACACTATCCATTCTGATCCACCGCACACAATACATCGACCGAGGCGAAGCCATCTTTGCCACAGGCCTCATCCACATCACACTGCTCTTTGCCTATCCCTCCAACACCCATCGATCTCAACAATGGCGAAATCGTTTCCGCCAACTCCACATTCTTCCCCACACTTACCACTACCACAACTTCCTCTCTTCCAATTCTGTCTACGTCAAACTCCACTTCAACCCTGACCCACCCCATCGCTGCTACCACCAGCATGGCCACTTCTACGTCGGCTCCACAGCTTGGTATTCCCCACCGAGAACACAACCGCCGTGCCAAACTCAAACAACTCCAGAACAACATCCCAATTTCAGCAGAACTATCCCTACGCTACTGGCATTCCCACAACAACATCCACCACTACACCACCATTCAGCTTACATCCCATGACACCTACGACCAAGCCTGGATCCAGGAACACCACCATATCGCCAACTGGATGTCTACACTCAACTGGCCCTTCATTTCACACCATCTCAAACTCAAAGCTCAAGGATGGCAATTCACCAAGCACAGAGCGCATTTTTATTCCAGGTTGGCCACCCACAAACGTCTCTTTCGACGCCTACGGCGACGACAACATACCCTCAGAGAACCACACCTCTACACTTCCACAAAGCATCACGCTCTCACACTCCTCCGCAACCTCACAAAACACACAGCAGCCTCCTTTGAAGCAGCTAAACAACTGCGTAGCGGCCGCCACACAGACCTCGAAGTCTACGCCATCCGGCGCATGGCCGCCAATCTCGAAGAACCCGGCCGCAGTAGGGCTCTCCACATCATCAACAAAGCCCTCCTGTATCGCAACCTCACACCACCCAAACCGAACATCCCATTGACAGTGCCTTTCCTGGCCCACGAGGATTTCACCAAGCACTGCCAACAGTGGCTCCGTACCACCATTCAGCAGCACAAACACCTGACTATCCCCCTCCACCTCCCCTCGCATCGCCTACGCGAAGCAGCACACAAAACTCTACGATCCCAACTACACAATCACCGCGCGTGGGAAGACACCCTCCATTCCCCGCCAGATCCAGCAGACCTCCCCTGCGCGTGCAATCATCTTCGAACCCTACTGCAGGACCCCGACACACCCACTACCAACGGCCATTACATTCTCACACTTGATCAACTTCGCCTGCCCACACACCTCAGCATCTTCCTCAACGCTGACATGAACAGCACCTACTATCCAAGCAAGGCCCGTTACTTCCTCACTTCCAGACAGCCTACACAAAATGGCTCAAGCTGCAGGGACTACCACCATCCCTCGTGCAGCACTTGCAGCCTTTCCTTGAGCATCAATGGCGTCTCCACAACACGCACCTCAAACAACAACCCCGTTTTACTGCTCGCCTACTTCGCCAACTCCAAGAATACCTCGGCCAAAACACAGTACTTCACCATGCCGACCATGAACTCCAACAGCTCCGGCTGTTCTGCCCCCGCCAATATTTCACTGGTGCCTTGAACACATGGCAATCCCCTGAACTTTTCGAACCACTTCCCTATATCACAGCCGCCAACATCCACGACCATCTCACAGCCACTGTTCCACCCATTTTGCGCACCCGCTACAAGTGGGGCTTCCGCAAAGATTTCAACATCCCCTACGGCGTGGTCCACCTCAAGGAGAAGAAACAGTGGCAAAAAGGTCGGACCATCATCTCCTACTTCCACTCACTCAGCGGCAACCTACTCCGCATCACCAGCCGTGCCCTCGACATTATATTTCAACACCTTTACCCCCAGCATCCAGGGCAACTGTCCATCCCACAACTTTGGCACCACTTCCACAGCTACCTCACCCAAGCCCCAGCAGACATCTCCTTGTACGCCACCAACGATGACCTGGTCGGCTTCTTCAACTCGGTCCCTCAACACAGACTCATCGACGCAGTTCATTCTATGATTCACCACTGGCAACAACAGCAATCCACACACACCCTCACAGTGGATGTCCACGCCACTGGCAACCCCTTCCACCATTCCCACATCGGCAGACACCATCGCAAGCACCCCACCCAACGCACCATCCAGACATCCGACATCACCACCATCGTTGCCTTTCCACTCAACACCTGCATTTTCCGGGCTTGCAACAACACCTACAAGCAAATCCGAGGAGCTGGGATTGGCTCCCAACTCTCTCCAGCCCTGTGCAATGTAGCCATCACACTCATTGAACACTCCTGGCACCAGATCCACAACAACTTGCTTCAACACACTGACTTACTATCGCTATGTGGACAACCGCTTCATTGTACATAACGAACATTTCCTCCACCATCCAGCCATTCAAACCCTCATCCACCACAACGTCTTTGGCGACCCAGTGGAACTTGAACCTGTGGACGACTTCCATCTCCTGGGCTTCAACATTGACCTCCAACAACGCACCATCACCTACATGCAACCTTCCCAACCCTGGAAAATCAGGGATTCCACCACCGCCGGGAGCCAGCGCTTGGCTCTGTCAGGCCTCCAGTCCAGACTTCACACCATTCGAAAATACACATTTCCAGCGCTGAAGCTGCTGCCGCCGAGCTAGTGAGGCTCTATGTCCAAAAAGGACGCAACCACAACGCCTGCCACCGATTTTTGGAAAAAGCGCCGACACCGGCGATCTGTGTGTGTCCACCCCTGGGCAAAGGGTTTTCCACCGCCACCTCCTGCACCAGTTTTCCACCAAGTTTCACTCGCAGGGGGGCCAGGCCTGTCACATCCAACCTGGCCCAACGAAGCTAGGATGTGGCAGGGGAAGCACCAAAGGACGCTTTGGTGTGTACCTGCGACCAACTTTTGCGAAAGCTGTCCAATTCCATGTTTTGTTTCCATGGTGGTTCACGATACTTCCCCCAAACCTACTTTTCCCCAGCAGCTGCGCCGCCGGTTTGATTGCTGCCGCCTTGCGACAACAATGTTTAACTTTTCAAGTGATCGGACCCATGCACCTTTCCGTTGAGCCATTCCTTTCCTTGGGGAACTGAGTTAACTGAATACAATTGTCGAAGTGTGTGACTGTGCCGCGAAAGCCGCGCCGCGCCCCTCTCCAGCTCATTGATCACGGAAACGGATCGAGCACCACTCACCCAGCAACGTAGGACCACGTGCTGCCCCATGACCTGAGGCATAAACTGCACGGGCCCTGGGCATCACAAACGCTCCCGAACATCACAGATCGAAAGTATCACTTTCAATGCATTGGCCCAATTGAGGCCCTCTTGCAGCTTAAACATCTGGAAGCAGCCCAAAGCCGCCACTGCCTGGCTCCTCTTTCGAAAACGAGCTGCCTGTACTCCGAGGACGTGCTTTGGGTTGGGCTGCTGAGCATCAGCCAAGAGCTGGACATCATCGTACGAGACAGTGCAGGCCTTCCACAAAGGCGAGACCGGAAATGAACACATTTTTTGAAGAGTGGGGTAGGCTAGTAGAAGAGGGAGGTAGTAGCTAGAGGTAGCTAGTGGAAGAGGTAGCTACTAGCTACTTAAGCTACTACCCAGGACGCAGGATAGCTCACGCTTCTTCAAGGAAGCTCCCCCCGCCGCCCTAAAGGGGGCTGGGGAGCTTCCTTGAATCACTGAAGAAGCGCTCGCACTAATGATTTGGTTCCTAGATTCTTAGGGAAACTTATATAACTAAATTGCACCCGTCTGGAAGCATGTTTTCTGCCACACACTGCATCATGTATGCCACCCAGTTGATGCCTCGGGCGTTTTTTCTAAGAGTTGCAGTTGAAAGTCCATGGCACTCTGGGGCACACTCGTTCTCTCTCAGGTAATCTGAGCCAGAATGTGCTTCCGGGTCCAATATTGAACCGTCAAAGCGACATTAGAGCAATGAAATTGCTGATCCGCAGTTTAGAGGTTCTGTGGCTTATAATCTAATTGAATATAACTGATGTATTGAATCACGTTGTTGAAAGTCACCGACCCGTTGTTGTTGCCTGTGTTCCTGTGACCTGGCGATAAATTCGCTCAACCTTCCTGTCAGTCGGAACGGTACAACGTTTATGCAGATGTGGCGTGTGCCCAAGGACAGCATGGTAGGCCTGCATCAACTTGATCATACCTCATGCACGCGGCCTCAGAGCTGCTCGGACAATTCAGCTGCAGAACTATCACTATCGCATGCTTTTGCTGCGAGGACTGAAGATTATGAACAAAACTCCAACCCAGCAGGTCTGGCAAATGGATGCAAACTCATGCTAAATGCAACAGTTCCTTGCACGCTTAGCTTAGGTCTTAGGTCTGCCATCTATGCATTCAGCACAAGATAGCAAAAACATTGTGTCACGCACATGACTCCATTTTTTGCGATGTTTCCATGTGCATGTTTCTCGTTGCAGGTGACGGCAGTCTGAGATGCCAAAAACGGGTCCTGCAACGAGAGGCCGGTACCATCACTGTCGTGTCTTCCTTCGCACTGCGACCAGCGGACCAGCGGCAGGGGGCTCCAAGCACGAAGTTACTGGTTTACATTGGTTTACAATGTCTGGGGGAATCGCTGGTCTCTTTCCATGCTGTCAGAGCTGAGCAAACCAAACCATTTACCAGGCCCTCTGCTTGCCCTGGTCACGACGGGCTGTAAGCCCCAGCATGACAATGTCACGTCGTGCACGGCGTTGTTGACGCCGGGAAGGGTAGGGAAAGGCAGGACGCAAGAGAATTGAATGAAAACTGGCAATCTAATTGCAATCCTCAAGAAACATTGATGTATATAATATGATGTAATGAAGGTGAGATGCCTGGTGATACTGCTCATGACGGTGGGCTCGATGGCACAGGCCGTTTTGACCGAACTGCTTGTTTTGACAGAACTACGTCCAAAAATACGTCAAACATCCTGCTTGCAATCGCACTCTCCTTCTCTTTCAGAAACACCGCTAAACAAAACGAACGCTCCCCGGGAGTCACATCCGTCAGTTGCCGCGGTCCCACACCTGAGCGAGCGTCTCGTACGAGGCCCGTCAGTACGTGGCACACACGAATACGACTGAGTGACCAGTTGGATACTCCAAGTGGCCCCATCCCAATTGTCAGGTGGTGGCTTCTCCATGTATGACAGACCTTAGAGAAGGATCTGAAGATCGGGAGATGCGATAATAAACGAAAACAAAAGTTCGATTCACTGAAATGAAGGTGAATGTAGATCAACTGAAATGCCATGAGACGAGGAATGAGGAGAAATGAGACCAACATGGACCCACAAGGTCTTTCAAAACGCAACGAGACAAAGGCAAGAACAAATTCGAAAGTTTTGCCCACCCCATCTTCCCAAGAAGAGTCAATGAAATGACTTGCCAAAGCCATCCATTTCCAACGCTACCATAGACTATATATGCCCTTTGAGCCTCGATTTGTTTAGCTGAGCTGCAGCGTTTGAGCATCAGAGCAGATGCCACATCCTGATTCAGCACGCCGTCAGAGACAGCAGTGTGAGGCTGTGCCAATCCCAAACGACGGAAAGGCGATCTCCCGTCTTCTCTTCAGGTTCCCCAACTCCAAACGGTAACGTCTGACCGGCTCTGTCCAATTCCACTGGATTTGACTCTCCAACTCTGTCCTGTGTGCCGGTAAGTTTGTGCATGGCTTTGCCAGCTTGAGTGAAACCATCCTTCGCCTGGGCAAGACGGAGCTGGGAGTGAGAAAATTGATGGGAAATGTGCGGAGCAAACAGTCTGCATCAATTTGCACTCTTCCAGCATTTAATATAGCCTGTAATGATTGATTCAGCTGTACCAAGTCGGCAGTCTTGAAGTGATCGCTGAGTGGTCATTAGAGGCCCTGAGGCAGCCAAGGCTCTTCTGAAAATCGTTTGTGCCGGTAGTGCTGCACGGCTTCTGTGTACAGGTCAGCAGCCTTTTCTTCCAAAGCAGCCTGCAACATCTTTCACGGAACCACGTTCTACTCACATGAAATCCGTGGTTTACAGGGCCTAAGAGGGAGTCAAGAGTGTAATGATACGGATCGAAGGATTGAAACAAGGAGCCACCCCATCCAACACGCAAAAGACCATGTCGGAAGAAACAGTATATAGTTTGGGTCTATCCTAATACCTGCAACAGTGGATGATGATGGTTAGTAAAGGCCTTGTTCAAAAATAGTAATAATTGTTTACTGCCTGTTGCAAGTAATAGGACAGACCCAATATATAGTAATCGTATGATGCTACTGATAAAGACCGTGAAACGGAGCAAAAGAAATGATGCTGACATGAATGAACACCATGGATGTGCCTTCTGAAGGCTCAAAACCATGAAGAATTCGGCAAACAAGCGACGAACCATGAATGTGCTTTCAAAGAGGCCACCCGTGGCCACCCTTCAGATCTGAAGAACCAACCATCTTAAACAGCATCGCTCAATGGCCCTTCAGCGCCTTTGATTGCTTCTTGTTGCTCTTCCAGACTTCAAAAATCCTCAACGTCTCCGAATGGCACAAACTGCCCAGGCGTCCAACTGAATCATAAAGATTGAATCCTGAAGACCTTTCTACAAATGCCTGAACAGCAATTTCTTGGGGGATCGCCGTATGGAGAACTTCATGCACAAGGCATCCTCTCGCAATGTGTTACGAGCAGGTCTGTTGTTTTCTGGTCGCGATGTCACTTGCCAAGTATCTGTTGACTCTCTTTGTCGTGAGTTTCTTCGCTCCCACGGATGAAGTCCTTGGGGCTTCAGAGCAGCAAACATTGCTGGTACAAATGACTGGGACTTGCAAAGAATGTAAAGATTGGCAGCTCTGGGTGTGAATCTTTGATCTAGCAACTATATTCAGGACACTGTCTGCATACATGCATATAGCATGGCAAAGTTAGACCTGGGCAAGGAAGTTGCCAGGCTCCGACATGGCCATTTCCAAATCAGTCAAGCATCGATCGGGCGAGAAACAAAACCGTCAATCTCCATGTCGCTGTGGGTTGATTCTGACACCAATAGCCTCAGTGAAGGTCCAGTAGCCATGCCAACAGGCCATGGGCTGCATGAAATAAAAAGAAGGCTTTGACGAAGCAGTGGGGTGAGGCAAATAAACGACAACCAGTGGCCTTTTCCACGTCATTCAAGCGATTCTTTTGACAAGTGTAAGCCTGCAACTGAGCTGTCTGCATGAGTTTCAGGGGTATTCAAACCATTCTAAAGAAAAATAACTAGCCCCCGCTGTGATGGAATGTTTCCGCTCGGGACGCCAAAGCATTGCGGAAAGCGCACGGGACTACACACACACACACACGCACGGTCTACATGCAGTTGCAACATCGAGGGCCGGCGTTCACAGCTATGGGACTGCGTGCCGTAGGTCTTGTTCAGCTCTTCCAATCGTCCAGGCATGCTGCACTCGTCACCCACCTCGGAAAGACTAGTGACTAGCAAAGCTAGCTATAAAATCATCTATAAATGACCAAGTAGCGCTGCACAGTCGCAGGTGGCATTGTCGAGCGTGTGCACTAAACAATCGCCAAACGTATGATTCCAATGGCATCTTGAGCCCTTGCATGTGAATCCTGCCAAGTTGCAATGCCGTACTTTATCCTGTACTGCATGCCTTGGCGCCACAAGCAGCGCAGCTTTCGAAAGGGTGGACCGGTGGACCTGTGTCTGGCCTTCACACATCACTCGTCTGGCTTACTGCCTACAGTACATACATCTACATACAGCAGCGGTTATGATGCATCCAGGCCTTCAGACGGAAAATACTTACAACTCATCACGTGCGATGTACCCGTTGTGCTCATGTGTGCCGAGAAGCCCATGTTGCCCACCAAGACTTCGCCAGTGTGAATTCCACAACGGATCGCGATCCTGGGCCCGTGCCCCGTGTCATTTTCAATCCGGTCCAAAGTTCAGAGAGTACTGCAACCTTCCAAAACTCTGCATCTACGCTTGCATCACACCTCTGGGGTTCGCATGTGGTAAGTGCATGCTCGCCACTTTGGAAGGTCCCTCCGAGTCAGCCATTGATTGATCCCAGTCATAGCAGCCAGCATCTCTGCCTGGAGACGATCCATTTTGCCCTCGAATGCTCCGGCCGTCGGCCAGCAGCCAAAGACTTCACGGACAAACACGACGCGGAACCAACTTCACCTCTAGAATGGACGTGGCCTAATATTCCTGCCATTGAAAAGCTGGAGAAAATGTCGAAGATCAGCTGGAGTCAACCAACATAGAACATAGACCTTCTCTAGATCTCAGTGCTCCGTGTCAGTTTACAGTATGACCCTGGTAAACAGGACTGAGCTACACTGCTCCAGAGAGCCTTGGAGCCATGGGCTCCAAATTCGGTGGTTAGACAAGACGAAGCAGTGCACAGCTGATGGGCACTGTTCGGCTGTATTCATTTCTTGAGACATTCGTGAACAAATTATCACCAGGGCTCACTCGGAGCTCTTTCTCTCTCCGCCCTCGGCCTGTTTGTGGTGGGGTCAACATGGATCAACCATCGAGCTGCTCGGAACCTTGTTAAGTCTAACCTTCAAAGCTTTCCGACCAAATGAACGTAAATGAATGTGGGGCAGTCATCTCAGCTACCTCGATTGAAACACGGAGTTCCAACTGATTCCCGACAGATCTCTGGACACCGAAATTTCAGCAGGCTCACCGCCGCCATCACCGCCACCGTGGCATGCTTGTCATTCACCACAGGTGCCCCGTAGATGCAAAGAATGGCATCGCCTCAAAAAAGAATTATATTTTACAGTGTTACAGTTGTCACCACATGACTTGGTGCAGTTGAGGATAGTTCTTGCACATTGCTGGCACTGACAGAGGGGGGTCTATCCTGGTCTGTCTATGGTCGGCACTGGCCACCAGCAGTGCTACAGGATGTTGCCCACATACGAAGTTTCATGACAATTTGGCCAGCAACACCTTGAAACATTCCTAATGAAAGCAGAGTGGGAACCGCAGCTGAAAGATCTATTTCAGAGCCTTTCTCCCTCATGCGCCCAAGACGCCAATGAATTCAACCACAATGCCACCGTGTTGATCCACGATTTTGGACATCTCCTGTCGGGTTCCACACTCGAGAAGTCCAATCAAGGCACAAAACAAACGAGTGGCACACACCGCGCGGGGTCCAATCTGAGCGACTCTGCGGTTTTGGAATACAGCGCAAGACAGTCGAAGAAACTCGCCGCCTGAAAGTAGCGGCTCAACATCAGCAAGGATTTCTCCGGAGGGATGCTCTCCACGATAGTTGTAAAGCTGGCGATGTCTGAGAAGAACATTGTCACCTGCCACATGGCAGGCAAAACTCAAGAACTTCGGCATTGACTTCTTCACAGCTCCCTTGACTGCTCAGGGGCATTGCACCTGTCGTTCAGACACTTCAATGTTTGCTTCAGCATCCTTTCGCATCATCAGCTGCACGACTGGCCTTAATTCGAAGAGACCGATGCAAGTGCATCGACAGTCGCGGGTGCTGTGAGAACTCGGTGGTACACTGTGTTACCAGTGCAGGGGCGATTAGAGGGAAGTTTTCATGGAGTAAAACAGGCTCTTCGTAGGCAAATTATGGAAAACAAATTTATACATATTTATACAACCTGCATTAATTATGTAAAGTACTAGGAGTCCTAAACAAGACAAAAGCCATGTTCTATTTTGCACACGTGTCCCCTCCAAAGTTTTGCAAGGATGCCTGAGGTGCCATTTGACATGCAGGGTGAGCCGGTTTGATACTATATAATATGGATTGATATGGTTTGCTTTTCTCATACCAGCTTCCGTCTTCAGGATACTTTGGATTGGGCTTTGTGGCCTTCCGGCCTAGCATCTTTCAAGGTCATCTCAAAGGTAGCTCAGCTCTGCGCCTTGCAGCCGGGCAACCAGGGCACGTATTTTCCCCAAGAGCGTATCGCAGTTTTCATGCCATTGAAGCGACGCCGCAGCAGCCTACAGGAAGACATGCTTTCAACCAGGTGCCAAACTACTGACGCAGTGGGGCTCGAAAACTGAAAGCTATCAGCCACAACGGGTGCAAAAGGTGTGATTGGTCGAGCAGCTAGCCATGTGTTTGACGTGCACTTCTGGAGATCAAACACGAACCACAGGACATCCAGGTGTTTGTTGGCAATTGTGAGCCCACAAATGCAAGAAACCAATGCTGTGAATGTCTGCTGAATTTCAATTGCATGGCCGGGCCTGATCTCGCTGGTTGCAGGCTGATTCTCGTCATCGGCGTTTGTCGTTGCTGCCAACTGCAAGCGGGTGATACTCTCCTTGGGTGGCTTCAACCCACAAATAGAGGCAGGCTGAGAATCGACTGGTGTACTGGAGGATCTAATGGGCAAGGCACTCCCAACAAAGCTGGGGTGACGACTGAAGTCCCAAGGCCAGGGCTAGAGCGGGCTACAGTTTGGTGAGGGTCTGACAGTCTGAGAATGTTTCCGTGGCCGAGGCTCGACTTCATCAGACAACTCCACCAAAGGCTTCAGCAGGTTTTTAGAGAGGTAATTCAAATCTCTTGTCAGCAGAGTAATACCTCCCATGATGAGAAGCAGTACGCCCCCTGAGTGTCCGGGCAAACTCAATTGCTCAAAAACAAGTTGCCGCAACATTAGTCATTTCGGTGCCGTCTTCGACAAGCTGATGTTTTGAAGGCGGCCTATGTCTATGTTTACTGAATGGCTTCACTGCGCACAGAGCTACCTGAGCTTCCAGCAAGTGGTAAAAATGGAGTCACGCGCACTTGCTTGGGTGTCTACCCTGTTCAGGAAGAGGGCAACAGCTTCGGTCTGGTTTTCCAGCTCTTCTGCACTGATGTCAACATCCTGCAGGGCAGCTCTCTGGAAAGCCGTAGGGGACGAAAGGCGCCTAGAAAGAAAAACGACATCGATTGCGGCAGACTCCTGCTGTGAGAACTCCGGGTATCGTAGCAACAGCAAGTCGCTTGTCCGGTACGGTGAGGCAGAAACATCTTGATCCACTTCGTTCAGGGTCTTTCTCCTCGGACCAAACGAATGTACAATTCTTCATCTGAATCTGTTCATGTCCCTATTTTCCCTCGGAATGCTCCTCTTTTGGTGAAACACTGTGACTGTGAATGTCAACCTTCGTCCATCCATGTCTACTCTACGTCTTGAACCCTTCCATCAACAAGTCCATCTATATACTAAATCTACTGTTGGACTACGTCGCGAAAATAGACATGTCTCAGACATGCGTGTCATTTGCTGTGTATATCTCCTTGCCAGCGCAAGGAACCAAATGCAAGAGCTTACACTGCAGCCCATAGAAATGCTTTTGCATGTGCATGCGCACTGCCCTCGATGTGCCCCTTGACTTGAACTGTATATGTCACCTCCTCCAACCCCTGCCACACAAACACAAAGGGAAAACGAATGTAAAAGTCCGAAGACTGGTGCATATTTGCAGAAGCCTTCTCTTCTCTGCCATGCAGCTGTTGCCACAACGTGGTTTCTGAAAGCGGACTTGAACAGCTCACCCCATTGGGGCGCAGGGAGTTGCAGTAGACTTGCCTGCACCATAGATCTCAAAGTAAGCTTCCCCAGCTTTGGAAGAACCACGTCAAGACTACAACATGCACAGTTGAAGCAATTCACTTTTCTTCCTGCAGCTATTTCTCTCTTGCTCTATGAAGAGTTCAGCCCCGTCAGGTAAATAAACACCATCATCGCAGAAACAGTCAGCCCTTCTTGGCAATGTGGAATGCAAAAGCGCTGCTGGCTACATGTCTGGTATGATTCAGTATGACCACAAAAGGGTGTCTTGGCGCTCATACTCCTGGACAAGGAAGTTCATGTCCCGTTCTGGAAGCACCAAAACACCCAGTAGCCTCTGCAAATCTAAGTATAGAAGCGGTCGATCAGGTCGTCCCCACTCGTTCTGCTTCCCCCAAGTGATCACTTGCCTGGCACGGGTCAAAATGTGAAGCACCACGGCAGCTCGACATTGAAGCGGCAAATGCAAGGTCAAACACGTGCCTGTTTGAGTCTTTTGCAAGTTAACGAGTCCAGTGCCATAGAACCTACGTCTGAGTATGAACCCCTTGCGCCATTGCACCTTCGAATTGCCATCGGGATGGTGGAGTTGAACTCCGGGGCACCTCGGAAAGTTCAAGCATGTTCAAGCTACTCAAATCAATTGTCATGAGTCATACTGTACGACACAAACGTATATATATATATACATTATATATATGCAGTATATATATATATACAGTATATATACAAATTTAATGTAATGGTAGAAAGTGCCCGTTTCGACGGTCTCAAGTCTGAGTCTTCATGTTCAAACTTTTGTGCGTGTGACCAGGTGATGATGACCGTACTGCACCTGAACTGTCTGTGCAGGATTGCTTCACTTTGTCGGACAAAACGGTGGTTGACATGTAAGAGAACCCGCGCACACGCGTAAAGAAGGGTTGCATGCCTATCTTATTGTGCAATCGGTGCGCAGCAGGGCACAGCAGAATGGCCAACTTCTTTTTCATTGCGATTCTGTGCAACATGGCGCAACTCTGGTAAACAGCCAACAGCGCTCTTTTCACCCAAGTCCCGGTGGCTGTGGCCAGCCACTTCTCCCCTGATTTGCCGCTTCGGTGCCGATGGTCAGCTTCACATATGCGTTGAGCCTCTCAAAGCCCCAAGAGAGAGACGTGTCTTCTGTCAAAAGCTCCACGTAGCTAAGCACCAGAATGATGATCCTGGCAACGGCATTCAACAACACAAGCATCCTCCAACTTTACTCACTCAGCATGTGAGCGTGATTGTCTTGCTGGACTGACCTGCAAAATCCTTGCTCACCTTTACTCGTATCTCTGGTCTTCGACCATGGATAATGTCGGGTACCGGCAAAAACTGAAATCGCAAAATCACAAACCAGCTTTCACTTCCATACACTTCGAAGGGAAAGCCACACTTGCTGACTGTCCATCAGCAAGTAAGACTTCGGAGATGGCAAAATCTGACGGAGAATTGTATAAAACCAAGCCGCAGAATGGCCATGGCGACCTTGACGCCAATATATTCCGCATTTCTTTGGCGCAATGCTTGCACATTTTGTCCACGCCTAAGGGCGCATGTTGGGTGTTTTTCGCCTGTGGTGTGCTTTACAAGTTCCAAGCACACAGGAACATGTGGATAGTGACGAGGCTGAACTTCAAAGACAAGTGGCTTCAGCTGCCGCACTACAGAGTTCTTGAGCCACTCGTAGAGTGGAGGCTCGTTCCTTGGAATGGCGCTTTTCGGCCATTGGCTTGGAGCCAGTTACACGGAGTAGCGTCGTAGCTCCTCGCTTTCCACCCCCCTTCATCTATAGCACTTCACTTTTCATACAGGAATCATAGTCTTCTCACTCAAGCATCCAAGACCATGCGAATCAGAAGACTACCTGTGATATCCTGTGATAAAGGTTCTCATTTTTGGATGGTAGGGACCTATGTGTATGTTTGGAGGAATGGAGGGGGCACCGAGAAAACTGAAGCTCACCCCTCACTGCAAACAAGGCACATGAGGGAGTCTCTAAACTCAATGTACTCAACCTGGTCTGGAAAAGGCTTGGAATCGGCACCTTAAAGGCTCGCATCAAGCAGGTACCGATTAGCTAGGAATGTGCACCCGAAGGTTGGTCCAGTTCGCCACCGAACTCGAGGCGGGCGCACACAGGAACAAGGCCCGACAAAGCCGTTGAGGTCCGGGCGTGTCGACTTGTTCAAGCCATTGGGGATCGCCAAGGCCAGATGGGTGGTGTCCTGAACCGAAGTCGTCGCAGCCAAGAATCACGCGTCCAACTTCGAGGCACGCAATGGGCACTGTTGTCAATGTTGAGTGCAGTTTGCCATGGCCTGTTCTTGCTTTGTTTCGATGTCGAGCTTGCTGTAGTTCATGCGGTTTCCGGATCCCCGCTACAAAGGAAATCTATGCAACCACCATGCAAGTGCTCCACTAAGGTCCGATCATGACAATTGCAATCTTCCAGAAGTCTGGCTGGCGGGAGGGCATCACAACTGAAACACATTGAGGAGAATTGCAGAATAGTGGGTTGGACTGAACCCTCACTTCTGCAAATGCAACCAAAAGGAATGGGAGGGGACCATGACACTCGACGTACCTTGAAAAATCTTGCCCAAACTGCTGCTCAAAACAAAGCCAGCAACTGTGATAAAAGGGGACATGCTTGTATCACCTGTCATTTCGCTCTGCCGGCTCCTGCTTTGGGATGTCCAAGGTATTTTGAAGCGAATCGTTCCTGATCCGACTGACGGCGATTGGTGTCAGTCGTGGGGCGCCAAATAAGGTGTATTATGTCTTTCAGTATCTTTCAGTTTGTGTATATATATATATATATATGTGTGTGTGTGTATTGTTTTTGTTATATTTATGGTTGTATATGTTTGTATTGCAGTATAGCATCAGAGGAGCGTATGCTAAGTTGCACCTGCCACTATTGCACTTTTGGAGTACTTGCGGCATCGCCCACGAATCTTGAGGCTGCCATGCTGCCACCCAATCAGTGGCTCTGTGCATTGGAATTTGCATGGTGGATCCCTTTGGGAAAAATTGATTTCACATTGGCGATAATTTATAGTAAACCCATTGAGGTTCGCCGAAAGCTCACTGTGATAGATCCATCGGCCCATAAAATTCAAGTCGCTCTGAAAAACCTCTATATACCTTCCTTGTTTCATTAGTATCCCACCAAAGGCAATGAAAACATTGACAAAAAAACATTAAAGAATATGATATTGAATAACCTGTGTTAAGCCGTCCCAGTGCATCCAAGTGTCAGGGCAGATTCACTGCCATGGAGCTGGGATGCCCCTATAGTAACTATAGTACTTACGGGCGTTTGACCACCATTGCTCTGCTCTGTCGATGGCCGCACCTGGCATTGTGACGCGTTGTGCTGCCTTTGTGAAGCGAGCAATCTGCGGCAAACAGTTGCCATTTACTACATATACAGGCTAAAGCCTTGGTCAAAATATTGAAAGCTTGTGTGCTTCTCAAATGCGCACATGATTAGAACACAAAAACTCTGTCGACCTGTTTGCATATATACTTACCGCGACATTACACAAACGGTCTACATGCCCACCCACACTCACCCCCCCCAGCTGCACCCGTGGGACGCTTATCCGTGCAGAGGCTGCAGCATCAGCTAGCATACGAAGCTTGGAGGTCCATTCAGTCTTCTTCCTGAGGCAAGCTTTTCGTGAATCTTCCTTGTCAGCCCTATGTCAAAGCTTTCTTCACAAAGTGAGAAAGAAGGAGAGAGTGATGTTGAGATGCAACTACGGAAAAGTCTTCTGCTAGTCCAATACTAGGTACTAGTCGACATCACATAATTACGAACATGTCGGGTACTTCTCAACTTCCTAATGGTCAACCTAAGGACCCACAGAATGTCAAAGTCAAAGGTAAATGGACCACAAATGGTGCCCATTAACGGATACAAGTACCACTCGACTCGATTGCACTTGCCGGAGCGTGCACGATATCCAACACGTGGATGCATGAACAAAGCAGGCAGGGTCAACTGCGGCAACTGGGACAACCTCATCAAAGAGTGGTTGTCCTATTCATTCTGGCAATGAGATACGCAGGGGCCAAATGAACATCACCCTGACCCTGCGCAATGCAATCAACAAGTTCAGAGAGGACGGTGCCTTGACAACACCGGGACTTCAATTCAAGATGCAGAGCGGCACGGACAGAGATCACTCTCAGCATCTTGATTTTACGTTGTGCAACAATGTGCAACAGCAACAAAAAGGCAACCTTCGTCAAGGGCCAACAGGTGATCAAGCAAACAAACAAACGATGACAACAAAGGCAGGACTCTGAAGGCAACAAACCGATAATTACTGGATCAACCGCCGGCGAATGAAGGCACCTCGGATCAACGAAGGGGCGGTGGTTCAGCTTCACCTGTGCCGAGGGAGGACACATACCGCAACGGCTCCAACGTACCGAATCCTTGAGCGCACCAGTCTCAAAAGGTGAGACCTGGAGACGCAGAGGCTGTAAATGTGGCAACATGAGCATTCCAAACATGTGCATAATTGCGCACATACCCCTTCAAAAATTGAGACCCAAAACTCTAGCCATTCAATGAGCATTCCGAGGCTCGAATTTTCGATGCGAGCCAAGTCAAAGAGCTTGTCTCGACACAAACGAAGAGCTGATTTGGAAATATAACCTCAGGAAATATGGTGAGAAATGTCCGAGCTCCAAAGCTGCACAATATAGACTCGAGGCCCTGGCTGTCCATGTCTTCATCTAGAAAACAGAAAATCCGGTAGATCTTCTTCTCCAGGACGCGCCTGTGGAGTCTTCATCACTCCGTGTGCTATTCGCAGGCAAATGAACATCCAGAGATACCCACATGCAAGTATGAAGGCAAAGGCAACATTGCCTGCTCGACTTCCAGCAGCTCAGCTATTAGAAGGGTCAACCTGCATGACCTGAAGGACCTGAGGCTGTAGCGGTTCTGCAATTCCAGATCCAAGCGGCGTGGCATCTTGGTCTTCGACCTGATGAACCCAATACCGCTGAAGCTCCTGAATCTTTGGCATCAGTGCCTGGAGCAGATCATTGGATCCCGGATCATCTTTGAACTTTAAGGATGACTACAGTATATACTAGAAAAGCGACTCGGGCCCTCAGGTATGTCTACCAAGGTGCTGCAATGCGCGCGATGCGGCCAAAGCGGTTGAGCCGCGCAGCCCGGGCTGAGCGGCCGAAGAGCCGCAGCATTCGAGTGAGCCTCCGGCAACGGCTTTGTGGAAAAGAGAAATGCAGAAAGAAATGGAAGGCAATCCGGATCACACTCCCTGAAACAATCATGAGGGAAAATGGCCCGTTGGATGACCCTTTTCCTCTACAAAGAGGCGGTTGTCCACTTCCATGTGAGTTGGAGGGGGGGTAGATCCTTTTGGAGGGGTAAGGGTTTGTTAGGTCCATTTCGACTCCAGCTTCATGCATGTGGACTTCAGAGCCCGGCGCTGGCACCAATCCGACTGTGCACCGCGGTGTTTGCTTTTTCTGACTTCATGCAACGGCAGATCGGTTTTTCGATGCCGACTTCGGCTCGAAGATCCTGTCTTTTCAAGTTGCCTGCTCGACCAAAAATACCTTGTCATGAGTCTGTGAGAAATTCTTCCACCTGGACTCTGTGAGGTGATGTCCGTACTTGGATGGTTTGTCGAGGCCTTTACCCTCCTCGAATTTCGTCAAGAGTAGCAATTGAACGACTGTCGAGCCCTTGATTGAGCAGATCTTTGCAAGGCGGACAAGCTTTCGCTGTCATGCGCTGTCACGCATCAGGCTTTAAAAGCTTTAGCCATGTGTAGGCCTCTTTCTTTTTTATGGTGAGAGTGATGCGCTTGCTGGCGCTGACTCTGAATTTGCACTCCTCAGGCAGGATCTCGTAGTAAAGAGGATCCAGCTCAAGAACCCAGTCCAATTTCTCTGCATGGACCCGCAATTTCAGAGCCTTAGGCTGAAAGGATACCTCCACCTCACCGGCGTTTCCATCACCTGCAGCTGCTAGAGCCTCTGGCTCTGCATCGGCAGAGATGTAAACCTTGACTGCCGCCTGTTCATCACCCCATGCATAGTTCAAGATTGCCCGCTCTGGCCGCGAGGGCTGGTCGTCGCTGGCCAAGGTCTTTTTCGGAACGGGCTCCGACAGGGCCTCGACTTCACCCAACTTTTGTGGCGAGCCTCCAGAGACAATCCGATGCTCTTCCGGCACGTCCATCTTCCTGGAGTGGGCGAAGTAATAGCTTGTATCCCCTTTGGCAGCAATGGAGTTCTCAACGGCAGTTTGTGGAAGCTCGTCCTCGTCTACATGGCTCTGCCCACTTCCTGTCCCGTGCACACCCACCGTGATCACGGCGCAATCTTCAATCTGCTCAGACTCCAATGAGGCATCGTCTTTCAGCCACTTGTTTGTGGAACCTTCACTTGGATTCTTGATGAAGAGCTCCATGTCATCTACGGGAATGTTGCATGCTTGTTCGATCTTTTTCTTGATGTCCATGCCATGCTCCGCTGGCTTTGCAGTGAGCTCAAGCTCTTTGCAGTGCCCCCTGCCGCTTGGCACAACCGCATACAAGGTCAAAGGCGGAGCTGATTCAGACATGGCTTTCCAGCCAAAGGGCTTCACTGCTGCCCTTGAACAGAAATGACGGTGCGTTTGCAAGAAGACCAATGAGAAAGAGATGTATTGTTAAGACCATCGTGACATCACAGCATGCTCCATCTCTGTCCCCTAATCCCGCGCCTGCTAGATCGACCGGCAACAAAGGCATTGTCGTCATTCGCTATCTGAAAAATGATAGTGTCCTGAGCAACGTTCGCGTTGCTGGGGCCAACGCAACCACTCGTTGCAACTTGGGACAGATCCGGAACTGTTTCTGGCTTCGGACCGGGAGTTTCCAGGTCAAGTCCCTAAGAGAATCATGGTGGTGTGGATGGCATAGGTCCCGTTTAAAACAAAAAACAGCGTCTTCTCCACGAACAGGGTATCGAGGTTCCACTTCAATGACTCAAAGAGCCTCATGGCGGACAACGAACACGATGTTCTGCCCGCCAGCTCCGCGCACCACGCCGAATCGCTCCGGAGGGACCAAGGACCAACCATGAACCAGGGGGACAGACCATGGTTTTGTAGGTGTAAAATCCTTATAGTTCCCAGACACTCCATGGGACTGCACCAACTTTGCCAAGGCACCGGGATCAAAGAGATGAAGGCCACCAAGTCCAATATGAAAAATGCACTGTAAATGTATCCTTCCTTGCCTGGGACAGGAAAGACATTAGGATCCTATTAGGGGCATCATCTGGTCCAGTAGCAAGTCACACATAGTAAGCGACGGTTCGGGAAGAGGTGTTTCTTTTCTTTGCGAAGTGTGGGTCCACGCACTGTGTCAGAGACAAGCAACCCATGCCATGGACAATGAGCTCCAGCAAGAAGGCCAGCGCTACAAAAGTTGTGCAAATTGCGATGCCAACTTTGGAAGACCTCAGAATGTCCAGCACATCCAGCGTGGTAAAATACAAACACCATATTGAGGGAAAAGATGGCCAAGCACTGCTATTTTTAGTTCTGAAAGCTCTGTCAACAACAGCTTGTGCCCAAATGCTTGTCACCGGCCAGCGCATCAATGTCAATGGAGAAAAGAGCATAAGCTGTGAAGAACACATAGGCAGCTGTCCACGCCCTGCGTCGATCACCGCTCCAAGCACAATGGGCCGAATTCACGTCGTCAGTCTGAGCTGAATTCCGTTTCCCAACACCTCTCTCTCCAGCTGACTTTCTAAGAGCCTCTATGTGCAAGGTGTAAATTTAACGATGACTCAACCCCGAACCCCTGAAGACTATTGTTCCGGAAGGCTCCTCTTGTTCTGCAAGTTTTCGCAGAATTGCGCGATTGGGCCCCTCTCTCTATCTGCAGCAACCTAAGTGGCACATGATGCGATAAAGCTGAACTGTTTGCTTCACGGCCGGCTAATCACTCCCAGAAGCTGGTTTCTTCTCCAAGCCATCTGCCGTCCAAACCTTGCATGCGGACAAAGTCGAGTGAAAAAAGTGCCAGAAGGTTTTGTGCAAGAGAATCTGTTTGAGAAGTCGATCAACCAACATCTATGGCGCCTGTCACATGCATGTCCAGGATTGTTTTACATTTTTGGTGCCCACAATGTGCTGCACCCGTTTCATCATAAGCAATCCCTGGGTTCAAATGACACCTATGTGCGTCGGTTCAGCTGTTTGCCAAGGCACAGTAGGTGCCATCTCATCAGCTTCTGCTTGCGCCAATGACCGCCAGGAAGGCGACCGCAGCAGTGCTGGGCGTGCGCAGTGGGTAAGCGATTTCATCGACTTTAGTGACAGTGTTTGATTTTGTCTGTCACTATATATATATATATATGCTATTGCTATGGCATGCTATGGGTTGGGAGCATGGAAGCTGCGGTTTCCATTCCGCGCTGTATCCTTGCTCAAACACCCGGCGTCCAAGGCACTGCGCTTATCGCTGGCATCATTGAGACCTTCAGAACCTTCTTTGGCATGTTCTGGGGCACGTTGGAACTCATAGCCTGGCTGGCGAGGGCTTCTGAGTGACTAGGACCAGGAACTTGTCTTCCTCGCTTACCATATCATGGCATGTGCCAATATCGATCACATATGGTGTTCCTTTCTTACACAAAATGTTGAACCCACAACCTTGAAGAACCTCAAGTACACGGATAGCTGTCGTGACGACATCTGACATTTGAGGCCATCACATTGAAACTGTGATTCGCCATTTGCGTTTGCGTACACAAATCAGAAGTGTACCAGGGTTTCAGGTGTACTGTGTTTGGGGAAAGCCAAGCGCCCCTACACAAGAAGACACAAACCAACCTTTTGACTTTTGGCTCAAGAAAAGGACCGCCCGACGTACTGGGCATTGCGCTGTTCCGCAACCACAGGTTATGAGCCCAAGGCCATGGAACATCGGCGCCGAAGAATGAGATCTCGAGAAGGGCGAGAAGCTCAAGGAGATCGAGAAGGTGAAGTAGAGATTGGGGTGGCCGACAGGAGGCTTAACCAGCTCTTGTCGGAGCACCGCCGATCGCAAAGAGCATCCTCAGCACCCACCACGGGGCATCCAGGAGTTCGACGAGTACAAGGTGGCGAATCTGGAGAAGCCCGTGGAGGTCAAGGACACGGAGGTCCAGAAGGTCCGAGCAGGGAACAGCATCCCTCGCTGACAGGGCCTGGAGGGCCCAATGTCACCTTTGAAGTCGAGGGAATGGCTGGTGGCCTGTTCGGGGCTTTGCAGGACCCTTGAGCTGGGCAGATGGGCCTGGGGCGTCTTCAGGACTCTGTTCGGCATGGGTTGGAGACCTTACAAGTCGCCTTGGGAGGTGGACCACGAGCGCCTGGTCTACTTGATCCACTACTTCGGCCACATGATTCAGGTCTTCCGGCCGCCCAGATACCGGTGTCTCCTCCACCCATGGGGGGGGGGCGCTGGGAGTGGACGGATGGGGATCTTCACCCCTGAAGCTGGAGCAGACAATGGGCGTGGTCAGGTCTATCCGAGGACTTTGGACCCCTATGCTTTGCCGGGAGTGGAGGTGAACCCTTTTTGGAGTGTTCAGAGAGGGCGGGAAGTGGGAGATGAGAAGATTCGCTTGAAGATCCTGAAAGAGGCAGAGGCGAGCTTTGCGAAGGAGATCAAGCGGTTGGCAGAAGATGCTTCATCCTATGCCTCAGCAGCCAGTGCCGCAGCGGCGGAGCAGGCGAAGAAGGAGGCGGGTGTGAGCGTGGGTGAACCGGCGGGAGGTCCAGGACCACCTGGTCAAGGGGGAGGACTGGATCGACCTCCAGGACTTCCAATGGAGCGAGCGGCTGAACCAATTGGGGTAACCGTTCCAGAGGCGGTAAGATCTTTGGAGCTGCCAGCGCTGCCTAGCCCGAGCAGTGGAGATGCCTCGATTCAGTTTGGAGATTGGTTGATAGTGGTGCATCCGTTGATGTCAGATTTGAGTGGTAGTGCACAGCAGTGGTGGGATCAGGCGATTAAGGAGGCAGAGCTTCTCTATGACAAGCGGCTGAGTTCTTCGCCCCTCATGAGGCTCCGAATCAAGTCTGAGCTCCCAGTCCCTGACAAGTTCAAGCGAGTTGAGAGCAGCGGGGGATTTCCATGTTGCTGGCGGCGTTGCCCTCAGACATCAGGAGAGATGTCATCACAGCCCGGCAG